ATCTTGTCAGTCTAATCACAATAAAATTCCTATTAAATATTAAAATATTACCATAATTAACATTTAAATATTTAAAATGATGTTCTCTATCGAAATGTTCGATTTACATTAGATAATCACTTTTTACACGACATGTTTCAGTTCTAAAAGAACCATCTTCAGGTGTATAAAATTATATAAACTTAAATGTAATTTCTTAAATGCAACTTTTAGTCAGATGTTTATCAGATTTCAAATGATGTTTTCTTCCAGATTTTATTGTATTTTTTTATATATATTTTTTATTTTATTTTAAACAAATCTTTGCATCAGTAAAGTTTTGTTCCAGTTCCACCCTGAACTTATTCTTTTCCTTCATAACTGTTAAGTCGTCCCGTTAAGTAATTTGTTAGTTACTTAACTTCGTACGTGTTTAAGATTAATTAAACTAATGTGGTAACTCTGAATGAGGGGAATATATTTTTATGTTTTAAAATTGTATATGGATCAGATTCGCTAATCCATCCAGGTAGTGTGACCTGGTCGTGACCCTGTGGCTTCACCAGGCGCTACCACTGACAGACGTCCTCGTCTTCCACTTTGCCATGGTTATTTCTCTTCATTCACCGCATCTGACGACCCACCAAATTGGATTTTTAGTAGTTTGCTCTGGATTTCCAAGATAATAAAATTCTGTGGGCTTCCTAGTGCTCCATCGAGCTCCTCCTTCAGCTACGAAGCAAGATTCTGTAACACAGAGCTTACTCTATGTTATATACAATATACAACTCCCTCCTTAATTACTATCACCTCATACCGTAGCCTGTATCATAATCTTACACATTTTAGCGCTCAATTGAATGGTCTATTGGTCCTAAATTTTCTGCCTTTGTTAAAACACTTGTCTTTTTAATTAGGAAGTTAGACCCTGATACATTGAACGTGCTGTGATTTTAAGATGGTTTATGTTCTGACTTTCTGTGCAGTATAGTCTGGTAGAAACTGACCGACGTTTCAGAGATTCTAAAATGCCTCCAGAAAATATTTACCCTGATAATGGAGGCAGTAATAATACCTGAAAAGTCCGAAAATTTCTATTCGACGACACACCACAGCAACCCAGTTGACATTTAATCTTTTCCTCCTTGAGAACCTGAAGTCTTGCTGTTTCTTGATTCATTTTAGGATGCTGCATTACATGAGAAGTTATTTAATGGTATAAAATATGATAGTTCTGAAGGGTGAATGAGTGAGGATAAATTAGAAGATATTTACCACATATTAGGATGGTTATTATTATATACAGAAGTTTGGTCCGTCGGCAATTTTATACTACACTCACAAAGCGTGCAACATTACAGCAGACAGCCATCGATTCCTACTTATAGATGTAGTAAATCAAGGTAATACGAGTAACAGGACAGATATTCTTCAGAAATCAGCGCTTGAATTTAATATTTATTTTATTTATTGTAGTTATAAGCGTCAGAGACCCTTGAACTTTCCGAGCTACTTGTTCAGTGTTTCTGTGGCCTAATCGTTTGTCCACCCCTGCCCTTAGCCCCGCGGAGATGATTTCAGCTACTACAGAGAAGCAATATATAGCTGTCAAAAGCAGAAAGCCTGTAACCACGTCAAGAAACCCTTAACTCCTACCAAAGTTGGTCTTCTACCACGCTAGTCGACAAGCTACAAATTTCAATGGATATTTTTTATGCTGTTTTCGAACTTCCGGAAATGTTGCGGCTGAGTGGAATTTCACTCGAAAGGAGTTCTTAGGCGACTGTGCGTGGAGTGTCGGGTAAGCTCAAGCAACAGGTGTGGGGTACAGCAGGACAGGCCCCGCGTTTTAGCCTACGCTAGCATCTCTAAAGCCACCGATCGATACCTCTGATAATGAAAGATCTCTGTTCATTAACCCTTCAAAACCGAACCTCTCCTGAATAACATTTAAGAAATCAGTCCGTACCGCGAAGAAAACACGACACTTTACCATTACATGCATCAACTGGTTCACCCTTTGAAGCCGAAGCTCGTCTCAATAATATTTAAAGATTCAGTCCGTACCGCGAAGAAAACACTACACTTCACCATTACAAAGATCAACTGGTTAACGCTGTTTAAGAAAATAATCGCTGTTTATAATGAACATCATACGAAGCTCATAAATGAAAAATAAGAGTTTCTGATTGTTAAATAAGGTGGTACATATAGTTACCATTAGGTTTCAAAAGTTGAACAGTTTATAATCGTCGTTAGATGATAGCCCTGGTTCAGACGCTGATGTGGCGTCTGTAATGCATTCATACTGTGTCACATTACTTTCTAAGAATCAAGAAGGATTGATTGGCGTGGCACGTAGCATGCATGTATGAGATGAGAAATTATTTTACAATTTTGGTTGGCATGAATGGAAGCGACCACTCGAAAGACTCAGACGTAGATAGGAGGATAATACTAAAGTAGATGTGAGGGAAATAGAAGAGTTGGAGTGTGTGGATTGGATTGTTCTGACTCAAGATCGAAAGTGGTAGCTGTCTGTTGTAAACGCAAAAATTAATCTTCTGTGAAGACAGCTGCTGAATGAAATATCACAGGGCAAATTTTTTTTAATCTTACATTGCAATTATATATTAATTATATTATGTTTGCTTTAACTTTTCAAGATCTCCGGAAAATAAATTAAAGCCAAAAGCGAAGCGAACTTAAGAAATGAGAACAAAATGAGTTACTTCATCTTGGATTTTTCTCGCCCCAGGACGTGAGAATATCGTTTTGCTGTCTATAAAAGTCTTTCATCACCCTAACACGTTTATCTGGCTGTATATTTCGACGTCGAACAAAGAAATTCCTCCAGGATAATCCTACAAATTTTCTAAAAATAACTGGTCTTCGTAAATACTTATTAAGATATACATCGCTTACCATCATATACACTCAGATATGAATTATATTAAAATTTGCACGTATTACTATGGAGTTACGAACATTTTGATAATTTTTATTTTTAAAAATATTTCTAACAAATTAACGCTGTTATGAAGTTCTTGAGATACTAGTGATTTATATATATATATATATTATATTATATATATATATATATTTATTATTGACTGCAAATAGGTTTATACCCGGTGGCAGTGACCTACAATAAGATACAAAACAATGAGACACAACAGAACAATGAGATACATCAACACAGAGACAGAACAAAACAATAAAAAAGGCACAACAAAAACAATAAGACACAACAACAAAAACATCCCACTCAAAATCAACCAACTCATAAATTACAAAACCATCCAACCTAAAGTACTTAACTAACGTTACGTTTTAAATGATACACCCTGTATCAGTATGAATAATAACATGCATAGTGAAATATTCTGTCACTCATTATAACTCCTCTGTGAGATTTTCAGCAAAATTTAGGACTTCTTTTTGTACTTTAATCCTCTTATAAAGCACTAACGCTTTGTATGTGTATTAGTTGCTTTTATTGAGAGGTCCACATTTCCGTCTTTATGCAAAAAATTATTTTATGCAACTTCTGTTTATTGTCCCTAGTATCAGTAATGAATGAACGCATTTTTTCTTTCCTCTGAGTTAAACTATAAATTACGTTTTCGTATTAAACTTTCTAAAGGTCCACTTCTGGTTTGAACGTTTATCTTACAAAAATAGTGCCAGCCGTAATTCATTGCTGCATAAATAACAAACATTTCATTTGCTGGCCTCCTGCTTTTGAGGCTTTCACAGACGGAAAATACACACGAGGACTTGAAAGATACAGAGAGCTGCTGTATTATTACAGCATGTAATTTTCTCTGCAGGATATCTGTTTACTAATGAACTTGGCTGTTCTGCCTTTTACGACGTAATTTTAAATTTGCGTGTTTCATATTATCGATGGGAGGGGGCAGCGCGTAGATCGACGTTTCTTTACCGGAATTTTATCCTAATCAAATAATCGCAGTTTACAGTCTTATTTAGTTAAGATTATTTTACAAATATCGTTGTATTCCATGATTCATTTCAAATACGAAAACCATTTCAGAAAGGTTTTGAAAACTATATTTCCACTAAGGGGCTGAAGCCCACAACGTTGCCTTAGCAACCGCAGCTAGGAGCAACATTCGAGCTTGAAGTAGCCTAAGTAAGTCTGTATCCCCTGCGTTCATCTTTGCTTTATTCTTGTTCTGTCTTCACTTATTATGCATTCTTTTTAATCCTTCATTACTTTCTTACCTCTCTTTCTTAAGTTCCGTTCTCTCTGTTTCTTGTTTCATTGTTTCCTTATCCTTTTTTGCAATTCGACCGTTCTCTGTTGCTTTATTTTAATATTCCTCCTTCCCTCTTTATATTGTCAATTTCTTTCATATTTTTCTTCCTTTGTTATTGTTTAATCGTTTAATTTTAACCGTCTAATCACAATAAAATATTTTATTAAATATTAAAATATTAAAATATTATTACTACAATTAACATTTAATGTTTAAAATATTTAAAATATATTAAAATGATGCTCTTTCTATCGAAATGTTCGATTTACAAGTAGAGCATCATCTTTTTCACGACATGTTTCGGTTTTCAATGAACCATCTTCAGGTGTATAATCAATATAAATTTAAATGTAATATTCTAAATGCAATCCTTCGTCAGATGTCCATTAAATATCAGTTATCCTCTTCTAGATCAATTGTATTTTGTTATCACATTCAATGTTGTTTCGTAAAAGTATGTCGCGTATAGCGTGATCTTGCGTGGGTGAAATGTTTGTAGTGGGTTTTTTGTTTTATAATCGGTCTGTAAATTAAATAATAATATTATAAAGACTAAATAAATATTAGAGATAGAAAACAAAATAATATATTGAGAAATTTTAATTCCTTGTTGTTTCTCTCCTCCTCGTTTCTTAGCTTTCCTCTTATGTTCTGTCCTTTTCCTCTCCTTCTCGTTCCGCCCTCGTGACACGGCATCATGTCCTGATACAGGGTGATGCGTTTTTTTCCGTTTTTCAGACAGCAACTTCGTACTGGGAAACGCCCAGGTCCCGGCCCTGTACCCCATTGTCTACTGCTCGGACGGGTTCTGCGAGCTGACGGGATTCGCCCGCGCGCAGATCATGCAGAAAGGATGCGCCTGCAAGTTCCTCTACGGTCCCGACACTTCGGAGGAACACAAAATGCAGGTGGAGAAATCCCTCGAGTGCAAGACCGAACTGAAACTGGAAGTGATCTTCTACAAGAAGAATGGTGAGCGAAACAATCACGTTACAGCCATTGTGAATATTTTATTAATGTACTGATGATGGCACATGTGTGTCGAGGAATGTAGCCACCAGAATACATATTTATTCATACTGTGTTTACACGGTCGTGGTAAACCCGGTTTATCCAACAGCTGTCAAGTCGAATTCACTGTTCTTGACGTTCATTCGCCTCTGGTGACGTGTAAACGCGCGCGTGTCGGTCTCGTTCAGGAGGTTAGAGAAGTTCATTTGCCTCTGGTGACGTGTAAACGCGCGCGGCGGTCTCGTTCAGGAGGTTAGAGAAGTTCATTCGCCTCTGGTGACGTGTAAACGCGCGCGGCGGTCTCGTTCAGGAGGTTAGAGAAGTTCATTTGCCTTGCTGCTGAACACGCACAAATATAACGCACAAACGGAGTTGTCTGTGCAGATGGACACGTGTTTGGACTTAGCGCACATAAATTACACTTCATATTTTACGTTTTAGTTATATGGTCCTGACGCTGGGAAGTAATGTCTTGAGTATCAAAACATTTATCAAAACTGAGACAAAACTTACTTCGGTTTATTTGAATAATACGTGTCTGTGCTTTTGTCTTAATCCAAAGTGTTCCGGTCATAAACCACATTATTACGTCTAAGATACTTGAATAAAAACCAAAGATGCTAAATTTTTAATTAACGAAATGGGGTTGATATTTTCAGGTTGAGTGTCACAACTTGTGATGTTCTTCGGTGAAGAAAGAGTTTAAAATCTACGCTCTAAGGAACACTTTATTTATTAAAACCTTGTCCCTAAGGTACATAGTGCAGCAGCTATTTTCGAAATACATTTTGTTTTTAATACATGTTACATGTATTATATAGTTTTATTGTGAGGGATGAATATATATTTTACGACAGCGTTTTTCGAATGACGTATGAAGATCCTAAAATGGCGGTTTTCTGAAGTTCCCTGATGTCGTGTTCGCCCGGGATGTCAGCCAAATATTTTCTGAGTGACGTTGCTTCTATAATTATTGGGATTACATTTGCTTAATCTTTCCACATTCGCTGTATTTCAGTGAGAAGGTCCTTGTATTTAAATATTTTCCCCTCGTCCTTCTTAATTACGTTCCTGTCAGTTGGTATTGCTGTATCAATTAAGAGACAAGTTCCATTTTTTTCGGATTATAATATCTGGAATTATTATTTCCTCATTGAATGTGTCCGTGGGATCATGAGTTAGGCCTCCTCATGGAGCACGCCAAAGTTGAATCAGTGCCGGATTCGCTACGTAGTTGTTACAGACTGAGCCTTCAGACAGTGGATATTTTCTGCGTGACTGTGGACAGGCTATCATGGACACACTCAGGAGCGAGGTTTCATGTTCTGCCATTGTATGAGACTCACGTGAAGCTTCAAACTGTTGAATTCAGTGAAATTTAAATATCAATTAACTACGTTTGTGTACAGGCGAAACCTTGTGTTTGCAATTCTTCTGTGTGTTAGGTTAGCTTCTGTTTTGTCAAACATTACGTATTAATTGGGACGACCTCGTTATTGGCAATTGGCAGAAACAGAGACTTCAGAACAAGAGCAAACAATTTTGTTTTTGAGAAAAAAACTGGGTTAATAATTATTTTCTTTCATACATCTTTTATTTGTTGCTGTGAACACACTTCACTAACTAACTAACTAACTGAAAGGTTAAATACAGCTACTAATGAAAAATCTAGATATTGCCCACGTTTCTGAGTCAGTTCCGTTTTTACCATTACAACCCATCACTTTCTCCGTTTTCTAAGTGGACGCTTTCTAATAGATGTTACTAGCAAAATTTTGCATGCATTCCTCGTTTGCCCATTGTAGCCAATGTCTAGCCCGTAATCTCCCGTACTTTTGTTTCGCAATTTTGTAAGATTTTAGGCGAAGACTGTCTTCCGAAACGTTACGCCGTTTCGGAGGTGATTACTGCCTCTGTCATCAGGGCGTTAATAATGCAGTAAGAACCTCCGAAACGTCTGTCAATTTATAAGAGACTACATGGAGAGCCATGTTCATTTTAGTTGTTTTATTATATGTTTCTCACTTCCATTTTACGTTGTCTTTTTGTGCATCTCATCTTGCAAATGTAAAGAACTGTTGTATTCTGTAACAAAACTTCACCGACTGTGTAAAAGGAAGGATTTTGAAAATGCCTGTCACCGTTAAACAATTTCAAGCACCATAATCTCTGTCTGTGTCCTCCCTCAGTCTCGTGATCCTCCTCGAAATTTTTAAAATATTCTGCTATACGGATAGCTGACAGATTCAGGTTATGTGCATTGTGAAGGTAAAAAATATCGATGGGAATTTGCATTTCCGACTCCTCGTTGGTTATGTTCCTGCAGCCGTGAATACAGACTACACGCGACACTTAGGAGTCGGAGAAGTTGCCGCATGCACACGGCGAACACTAGAATTCTTCCATGTTTGTGATCTGTTGTTCTCAGTTTTCTATTGCTCTGAGGAAACATGTTTCTGCCGTCTCCTTCCTTCTAAGTTGTTCTTACGTTAATACACTGCATTAGGACGTACTTGTAGAATATTAGCAAGGCTACATTAATCTAGTATTAAAATAGATGAAAAACGGAGGATTTCAAGGTGAACGGAGTGTCTCAAATGTAAAATGAATATTTATTTAAAAAGAGTTCCAGCGGGTATTCCGCGAGGTATTTTGACTGAAAAAGTGAAATTTTATATGATACTCTAAATAAGTGTTATCTGCTGAGTAGAGAATTAATTAGGTTTTTATTAGTCATAAAAAAACCTTTTTAACAGCTAAACATCTGAATAAGTCCACTTCATATATTTTATTCTGCTAAAACTTTAACCTATATATTTATTTTGTGTGTCTGTTTATACCAGGTTCTCAGTTCACGTGTGTTAACGCGTCGAACGACTATTATAAGCTTATTAAGTTCGTGTTATAAACGAGGAAGCAAATATTTAAATTACCTGACTCCATGGAGCAAAGTCCTACTTGAGAATTTTTAGCAGCTCAGCTGGTGAATAAATTTCAGATCTTTAATAGAAACCCAATATTCGTTGGAATTTTCAGAAAATGCCACAAACTACAGGAAAACGGGTTAAGAGTGAAAGCGGGCGCATGCAACAGGCGTGCTAAAGACTTATATACCGAGAGGAAAAGACGTGACGATGTTCTAACCACATTACTGGAAGATCCCAGACTTGGGGGTGTTTGAGATCTTGGCGCTGTGGAGGGTATTTGGACCCAGGAGGGAGAAAGTGACAACAAGGGTAGAGAAAACCACACGATGTCGACATTCATAACTTGCGCTATTCAGCAAATATTACTAGGATGATCATATCAAGGAGGGTGGAATTGGTAAGGCATGTAGCACGCATTGGTAGACTGGAAACGAGTGAAATATTTTCGGTTTGTAAATCCAAGAGATAAGAGGCCTCTCCGGTGACGTAAGATCAAATGGGGGATATTATTAAAATGGATCTTCGGTGACTAGGTTTTGGGGGATGTGGATTGGACTCGCCTATATTAGGATGAGTGGTGGACTCTTGTGGACACGGTAGAGGGAGTTTTCCGTAAATTGCGACACGTTTCTTCGCCAGATGAACTGCTGTTAGCTAATTTTGTTACGTCGTAACGAGACTGCGTAAAACGGATTGTTATTGGACGGTTATAATAGGGCTGTCGGGTCGTCGGTTTTTCTGTCCACGTGACACGATTTCATTAAACCCCGCCCGTAGGTTAAAACAGCGTTTCATGACAACGTCATTATCACTTCGGAATGTACATGATAATTATTTCACCTCTTTTCAGTTCTGTTGCATTCTGGTTTGGATTCATAGGACAATTTTATATTTTCCTTTAGTTTTCGTGGTTTAACAATTTTCTCTCTATTTGCCGAATAAATGCTTACCTCTTTCCGTGTATCTTGAGTTTTTAACGTTATGGTATCTCTTAGAAATCTAATTCCTGCTACTTCAACTTATTTTCTGATTTTACCTTCATACGAAATGTGAACACTGCCATGGCTTTATAAAATTTCAAATGTCTTCTGTTATCTGTTTCCATATTCTGTTTATCGTATTACTTGTTCCTCTTTTCGAAGTATTTTATTGTTTATATTACAGTTAGGTTAGTAAAGAATCTCACTTTCCAAGTAAATAATACATTAAGCGTCTTCAGTAGTCCAATTTAAATTAATTGTTTTGCAGCTAATTGGATATATTCCCTTAGAACCACTGATTTGGTATTCAGGTACGTTTTCATATTAAAGTTGAGGCTTCAGAAAGACAGAAGACAAAGATTTCATAATGATTATTTCTTCATCATTTCTTCATAATTTTAGATGAAATGTTTACTTAACTAATATCATGTTCTGCTTCCCTCCATTTCCTTAATACGTGCTTCTGATAGAAATTATAATACAGGGTGTCTCAGCCCTAGATCAAAGTTTAAAGTCTCCCAAAGTTCATTTTCACTGACATACATTTTTGTATAATTATAAATGTCTCATTGCGTTTATTAATAGGAACATTTTATTTTTCGTGTTCAAATCGAAAGAACGAGCTATATTCACGTCTCTTTATTACAGGGTTGTCAGTTTTATTTACTTGTGTGGAGTATAGTTAGCCTATTCGCTGTCGAAGCTTATAATACTACAAATTTGGCACAAACCAATAAACACGTATTTTAATATGCAACAAAATATTTAATAAGTAACGCAAATAGCTGGCGTACACATCATAACGTGGCATGAGGCACGCAGTTATGTTCTGAAGACTGCATCCAATTTCTTGATCATCGGAGCTTTGAACGTTAATGATAAGGCAGCTATAACAAAGTGTCGTGTGGATCCATTACAAGGGAGAAATTAATGTCTGGGCAGGGACGGGCAGACTGAACATGAGACTGCGACACCGATCAACCGCCTCGTGCCGGCAGATCGCCCCGTCTCTTATCAGAAGCTTATAGTCGCTGAGCTTGTCAAAAACTTTCCCCCGTCTCGGTTCGTGTCCGCGTATTACCTAAAACAGCGTTAACCATTTCATCTTTGTAATGGTGAAGTGTAGTGTTTTCTTCGCGGTACGGACTGAATTCTTAAATATCATTCAGATGCCTACGTAGTGTATCAATGTTTTTCGTGTGATTCTCATTAAAAACAGCGATTATCTCCTTAAACAGCGTTAACCAGTTGATCTACGTAATGGTGAAGTGTAGTGTTTTCTTCGCGGTACGGACTGAATTCTTAAATATAATTTAGACGAGCTTTGGCTTGAGCGGGTGCATTCGTTTTGGTCTTCTGTTTCAGGAACGCCGTTCTGGTGTCTCCTGGACATCGTCCCCATCAAAAATGAGAAGCGAGAAGTGGTTCTGTTTCTGGCGTCCCACAAAGACATCACGCACACCAAGATGGCGGAGTTGCAGATATGTGAGTTGTACGACAGTGGTGAGTCACGGCAGAGAGTCCGCACTTCCTCCGTGTTGTGTGAGGCATCTTGACGCACGGATTGTACCCTT